GTTCAATACCTTTTCCCTGTGCCATTCCACATTATTACAAATAACTTCATTTCTGGACATTTATGATTTGATTTCTTTGGGTTGTTACCAACATCTGGTGAAAATTTCATGTCATTAGCACCTCTAGTAATATATTTACTGAGAAAAATGGTGACGTGTTCAATACTTATTTTACCCGCTGTATTATACTGAGATCAAATGTGACATGTTTTAGAATAAGAAGCTGGATAGTATGGGGGAATAATAATAAAAAAAGACTGACTGAGTGTGGGTGCCTGCGTATCGAGGAACTGCAGCAGTACRTCCTGAAAGACGGGCAGTGTGGCAGCCGAGAGGGAGCCGGACGACACGGAGCCTTTCTCGTCCACCACCTCCGACTCGCCGCATCTCTGCAGGGGGAGACGGACACCGAGCAGACAGCGTGACGTGAACCAGAAATAAACGGGAGACGTTCGGCGAGAGATGGTGCATTCAATACCTCGGCTTCTATTTCAGCYTGTCTCTTCTCCAGCAGTTTGGCCACCACCATGGCCCGGTGCCTGCCAGATCGCTTACAGCACACCGCCCACTCGCAGAGCAGGGTGACCACAGCATCGTCGTCAGGTGACATCTGGACACAAACACGGGATTACAGAGAAGCAGACCTCAGTTTAAAGATCAACTCTTGTGGCTCAGTTTTTTTTTTTTTTGGCTGACTGCAAGAAAATATAGGGCACATGTTTCAAAGTCAAGGATCGTGGGCCAAATTTGACCTGGAATTTTTTTCTTTTTCTTAATTTAAGCTGAAAATAACTTTTATATCAATGGCAAATTTTAAATTTAGGATCCAATGATACAAAATAAACAAATTTAAAAGGTGAAAGATAATACTTGTCCTGTCCCGAAGCTGTAGGCTGTAAGTAACTACAGCCCCGAGCGATTTAGTAGAACAGCCCCATATTAACGTCTCAAAATGAGCTTCTTTAAAGCCAGCATAAACCATAAACCATGTCTATTCAACTGGTGGCCCGTGGGCCACATCCGGCCCGTGAGTAACCAAAGTTCGGCCCGCCAATTGGTTCATTCATCTCTTAAACCCAAACCCCCGGGTTTCTACTTTAATTACTCTAAGTTCTTTTAGTTAAACATAGACACGTTTGGTATCTACAGAAACATCAGAATCTTGGCTAGAAGCTGGTAAAAAACCATTTCTATGAACACTCAAGACAGTTAAAACTACAAGCAGTTGAAGATAAAATGGTGAATGTGAAAATAAAATTGGTTTAAAAATTTGGCAAGTCAGAGATGTCAAAATATTATTTGTGTCAAATAGGAGGCACAATGTGTTCTTTTTGTTTTTAATAATGTTTAATTATCACAACTTTTATAGGGTTCTGTATGTTGTAATCATGATTAAATGCAGCAAAATAAAAGTAATTCAAAGGTAACAGATCTTTGTAATACTTGGTTTATTTACATAATAACTTTTATTGCTGGATGTTCAGCCCCTCAGTTGTTGACCGGCAGTAACTGCGGCCCCCGGAGCAATTTAGTTGAATGGCCCTGCCATAAATTTTATCTTCCACAATACATGTTGATTATACATGGGCATTCCTTGTAGGAGAGTGGGAGAGTTCAGAATTCAAAATGGCAACTACTTACCACAACTCAACAGTGAGTCAAATTATCTTACATTACATGCATTTATTTCACATTTAGTCAGTCGTAGTAATTTTCAGTGTTAGTGTCAATATAAGAGAATTTTAAAATGCTGTTTYTATGCATTAAATACCACATAGAGCTCAGTTATTGTTTGTTAGCAGTGCTCAGCCTGAAGGCTGGTTTATACTTCCAATCACACGTCTTGTTCCCCCGGCAGAGTGACAAAAAAAATTGTGTAATTTCCATCTGCTATCCCCCTGGTCACAGCCGTCATGTACATTGGTGATATATTTACTATATACCATATTTACATTGGTACAAAAGACTTACATGAGCTGTGGGAGGGCAGAGGGAGGAATTACGATAATTTATGCCCTGTTTTATACTCGGTCAGGAAAAAGACGTCCAAAAAGACGCAATCACTGACCCGCTGTCTCATTGATTGATGTATAACACAAGCTTTAGCAATGAGACRAGGAATGTGACTGTTCCTGTTTGGTCAAAGTTAATTATGAATGGTTCTTTGAGGGCCACCATAATATTCATGTGATCCTTGGTGAAAATGAGACACCCCTGATATGGGGTCTCACAAAGGAGATTTCTGGGTGTATCTTAAGAGAAAAGAAGAAAATATACATCTTTTACCTCATGGCCATCTTTACTTTGCCCAGAACCAAATATCCTGTTGTACAGTGAATCCAGTGAGTTGTTGAAGTCAGACTTCTCAAAGCTGTGGTTGTCTAAAACCTCCAGGGTGTGAAGAACCCTCCCAATGGTGAAGCCTGATAAAAAAAAAAAAGAAAAAAAAGAGGAAATCGTCTCAAGCTGTTCTCGCTGTGTGAAAAGGTCTGCAGAGACAAAGGAGCACATGTTTCCTACCTGCTGTGGTCTCCTGGCACTTATCAAACGACCACCTGAACTCCACGGCCTGACCTCGCTCCTTTATTTGCTCCTCGATTTCTCTCAACTTTGAACGAACCTGCAGCAGCACACACGGATTCGAAAAGACTTGTCAAAATAAATTCAATAAATCTATTAACAACCACATTTTTACTTTATGTAAGAAAAAAATACTTTGTGAGGAAATGTTTACAGGAAATAAAAATACAATCTCCCCAGTTTGTTTTTTGAAGCACGTTCCATTCCAGATAAAATATAGATTTTCATTCAGAAGCTTTGTTGGTACTTTCCTGAAGCATTAAAATCACTTTTGTTTGTGCTTTACTGATTTATTAAACTATTTTCTTTTATGCATCAGTGTCTGCAGTTTATTGGGAAGTTGACAGAAATACTTTATTTTGCAAGTAATGTGTCTTCTAAAAAAAAAATAAAAACTTAAATCTACCTGAAAAACTCCTGTAACATAATAAAGTGGGTACCTGTTGAGTAAAGGTAGTGTTTCCTCCTGGCATTGGTAAACCAGAGGGGGCGATGGGCAGGAGGTCCAGAGGYGAACCGGTTTTGTTTCTGCTGTCCGTTAAAGAGTAATGCCACACCAAAGCACTGGGACAGCACAGCACTATGCTCTGATGCGACAAAAACACGACAGAAACAAATTTTTTTACATTTTTAGAATAAAAACACAACTTAATGATGCTGCAGCTGAACTACAGTACCTGTAACATGCAGCTGAGGCCGAACACCAGAGGCCTGTGCTGAGGACAAATGTAGAAGTCTGTGAAAGGTGTCTGAGGCTGACTCCCACCAGCTGGCTGAGAGGTCGGGGTTGGGGGCAGGGCGGTGCTTTGCTGCGTCAAGATGCCGTGTGCCGGGTGGCCCCCCGCGCCTGAGCCCAGGCTCCCATCGCTTAGCAACAGGTTGAGGCGACGTGTGCAGAAGTAAGCCAGTCTCCGTGACAAGTAAGCAGACTGCACAAATTCCCCCGAGTACTGAGGCATAGAGGAGAGGTTCACAGCATTACCCACAGCACTCAGCGCCCATTAACAGCAGCAAGCTTTCAGAGGAGAAGCCAAAAAARAGAGGCCCCTGTGGGTGTTGTCAGTAAAGGTTAACACTGCCAGATGAAGACACAAAACATGATCGACTGTTGACAGCTGAGAGAGCCGACACAGGCCGGCTGCAGGACTGTTGGACTGGAATGAGTTAACGTTTGTGTTTGTGAGGGGAATGCAGACATTTTTACCTGCAGTAAGAGCGGCAGGAGAAGTCTGAGGAGTTCATCCTCGCCGGGCCGAACCTTCTCAAAACACTCCAGCACCCACGTCAGGAACTCGTGTCGGTCCAGCATCCCATCCTGAGCGCAGACACAATGTAAGTGACTCAGTCGAGAAAATGAACACGGCGATTACACAGAACTGATTTGTTTGTCGGCCTCTGAAATGCAACGCGAGCCGTTTCTCCTGTGAGCAAAGAGTCGTCACGTACTCTCCACTCCTCCATCAACACTGTCAATACACCTGATCACATGTGATCCTGCAATCGAAGCAACACAACCGTCATAGATAAATGATTTTACTCTCGGCACGTGCTGCAGAACAGCCTCAGCAATTCCAAAGTATTTCCAAGTTTCTGTGGTTTGCTTGATTTGGAAACAAGGAATGGTGAACAACATGCAAATGCAATGTTTTAACCAACATGCAGAGTTAAAAATGTAAAGTGACTGTATAATTTAATTATTTTTTAAGAATCCATACAATCCTTTCCTGTCCAAATGTGACTATTTTTATTTATGACATAAAATTGATCTTAAGTTTGTTGTACACTGCAAAAACTGTCCATCTTACCAAGTTTTAAAATCTTATATCCAGCCAAAAAGTCTTTTTGATCTTGTTTTGAGACTGATTTACTGAACAAGAACTGATTGTGTAAGAATAATAATCTTGTTTTCAGAAATAAGAAAAAAAATGAGTCAAATCAAGTATTTCAAGAATCTTACCAAGTAAAAAAAATCTTACTCCATTGGCAGAAATTTTTGACTTAATTTGAGTCAAATTTTCAGGCTAACAAGACAAATAATCTTACACATTCTGAAAACAAGATTATTATTCTTACACAGTCGGTTCTTGTTTAGGAAATCAGTCTCAAAACAAGATCAAAAGACTTTTTGGCTGGATATAAGATTTTAAAACTTGGTTAGGTGGACAGTTTTTGCAGTGTAAGTGCTTCAAAGTTTGTCTGCAAAACACAGATTTTAATTAAAATAATTTTTATAAAATGGTTGCTTGCTACATTTTATGTTTGAAAACCAAATGTTGTTATTGTGCATCAGCAGATTAAATATATTTATGCTTTACTTAAGCCAATTTCAAACCAGCTGTAGCTTTCAGCAACACCACAGTCCCTAAACTGTAATATGGTAAACCCTGGCACCGTTCTTGAGCAGACTTAAGCAAGTGAACGGACCTGAAACATGAACATGGCSAGCTTCTCGTTGTACTCCCACTGCTTCATGGCCGTCTCCACGTCAGCGGGCATGGCTGGCAGCGGGGAGCTGCAGCCCTGACTGGGAAACTGCCTGTAAAACTCTGCCACCTTCTGAAGTTGCTCCCACAGATATTTGGTGATGATCTGGGTCCATTCTACAAATGTGTACAAATACACAGAAAAAAAAAAAACATTTCAAAACCACCAAAATCCAGTTTGTTGCAAGTAAATACCATAATCAAAACACGAAAAACAAACCAGTTCAGCCAAAATACCACTTTCTTACCTATACAGGGATCAATCACATGCCTCTTCTTGACTTTTGTTTCTGTGATAGCAGCATGATACGCACAGGTCATCTTGATCATCCAAGCTGATCGCATGACAGGAACTGAATATTTGGCCAAGTATCCAAAAACCTCCTCCTTTTTGCTAAAGATTGGTACCTGGAACAGGAAATACTTAAAGTTTAGCAGCGTGTGTCGAGTAAATCAAGTGAAGTCGTTCATTTTGAAAAGTACAACTACAAAAACAAACAGGTTTTTGGATTCGTTTTGGAAGTGATGCAATGGAGTTTTCAAGCAGCCAACTTTTCAATAAAATGCATTTTCAGCTGTCCTAAAACTGAGCCACAAATCCACCAATAAAAATAAAGTGTAAAGTGAAGATTGGGAGGCTATTTCTTTATATTTATATAAGAAAAAAAGTTTTTATCGTCAGACCTTCATTAATCTGTTCTCAATATACATTAGAGGTTAACCTGCTACAAAACCAGAAACTTTTTTAGGGTTATTAATAAAATCGACTTAGTTCTATTTCGTGTAAGCTCCGCCCTCTAAGGCTATCGCAGATGGGTACCCCCGTGCGCGTACGCGCATTCTGAAGAGCCAATAGTCCACGCACACGTCACGTGGGCCTCACCTCGGTCCGTAYAAAAGGGGAGGACGGACCTGAGTTCAGCTCCCCTTTTTTCTTCAGCTTCGGCATTCTGCATGTACCATAGAAGACGCCCATACATGTAAGTGCTATGATTCTATTATATTGACATGGAATTCGTGTCCGGCGCTTCCAAGCTATGATCCRCTTAACCGTCCTTCGGGCTGCTCGGGGATCGGTTGTCCCCGGCACAACCCGTTTTTCACTCCGGTCTCCTTCCTCGGAAGAAGGTTGATC